AAAATATAATTTGGGATAATATTCCAAAAAGATGTAGGGTTTTGGAAAAAGGTCAAAAAAGATTTTATCCAATCTTGAAAGAATTATTAAGAGTGGAAAAGTCCAATAAGTCAAAACCACCCATTGTCCGATCAGCTATCATAACACTCTTTTTAATTAAATTACTTTTAGATTTCCAAACAAAGTTAACTATCATTTTGTCCAGCATTCTACAAATCTCCCCAGAAACATCCAGAGCCATTGCAGGATAGATAACCCGAGATAACCCATCTGCTTTGGAAAGCAACACTCTACCGGTTACAGACAGATCACGCTGTAACCAAGAATTAAATTTGCGTTGAATAGACAGAATAAGAGGTTCAAAGTTCAGTTTTGATCTTTACATATAATTATACCCAAGTATTTAACTTCGGATTTGACTGGAATGTCACAGACTTTAACATCAGTGGAATGTTTAATAGATAAAAGTTCACATTTGTGAATATTAAGAACTAAACCAGAAGCAAATGAAAAGAGATCAATTAAATTTAAAGCTACAGAAACTTGATCTTTATTTTTTCAAAAAAAGAGTTGTGTCATTAGCCAATTGGCCTATTAATATTGATCGGTTTGCAACAGAGATACTTTTCAAATTACTACTTTGAATGTGGACGGCTAATAATTGCATAGGAAGCAGAAAAAGATACGGCGATATTGGGCAGCCTTGACGGATGCCTCTGTCTATATTAAATCTATGAGTAGTACCATGCTGTAATTTAATTGAAGCATTGGCGTTATTGTACAAAGTTTAATTTGCATTGATAAAGTTGGGGCCAAAACCAAAAATATTCAAAGATTTAAGAATAAAAGGAAACTCAACGGAATCAAAAGCTTTATAAAAATCAAGAAAAAACAAGAAACCGTCATCAAGGATCAGATCCGAGTAATCTAAAATATCAAGAACAAGTCTAATATTATTTGAAATAAGTCTGTCTTTCATGAAACCTGACTGAAAGTCATCAATTATATTATCTAAAACACATTTAATTCTTTTAGCAAAAATCATGGCTAGTATTTTGTAATCATTATCTAACAAGCTTATAGGTCGCCAATTTTCAAGTTGAGTGGGGTCCTTTTGAGGCTTAGGGATCAAATTTATAACACCCTGAGTCATAGAGCTTGGGAGAGTTCCCTTATGTAGGCTTTCTAAATACACTTGGAGAAGAATGGAAAAAGAATATTTGAGAATTTCTTATAAAACTCTGTGGTCAGACCATCACTTCCAGGAGATTTATTAGGTTTCAGCTTATCGATCGCCTCAGAAATATCTTTAATTTGAATAGGAGATTCATAGCCTGACAGACTTCGTACTTCCGCTCAATTTCAGTTCGCTTCTGTACTCAGTCTGAGATAGCGACCTATCTCTCAGTTTTCCTCCGGCCTGAAAACAGCCGGCCAATCAACGAACAGAGGGCAGGCTGAGAGCCGTAACGTAGACGCTAAGCGCAGAGTTTAAGATTGTATTTTAGGTTAGGGAAATCGAAAACGACCGCGGATATGGATACACGGGATGCAATTCGCTCTGTTGTGGAATATACTCCCGGCATTCGCAAACTGAAGCCCGAACAAGAAGAGTGTTTGTTAAACTTTTTGAATGGAGGTGATGTTTAAGTTGGAGAGAGAGGTGATTGCATTATGTGATTGGCTTACGGGTAACCAATGATTTTATACTTCAGACAAGCCCCCCCCCGAAAAAAGAAAACACTTATGCCATTCCAGACTCTGTCTACGAAGCAAAGTGAAGTAGCAGAGTTTGGTATTACCAGGCTAGGAGATTCACACAAACTTTTGCCAATATCATCAATTCTGGTCTTAGTCAAGATAATTAAGAAATAAGTCAAAATTTTGTTGAGAGTTTCTAGAACGATAAAGATTTTTATAAAATTCTTCACAATATCTTTGACTTCCTATCTAAAGGATGCTCTAAGTCAATGTGACCTTGATTATCTGTGGTTGTTATTTTAATTTCTTTCACTTATTACTGTCTTTTTATGATTTGTACACCCTGTAATACGAATAGAACTTTATGCTGTGATACTGTAAATGTAAATTTTCTACTGTGGGCAAAAAAAAAAAAAAAAAAAACATTCTTCACAATAATTAGAAATGTCTTTATGATCTTTTAAAACCACTCCATTTATGTTAACCCTCTGGGGTTCTTCGGACCAAATGGACCCGAAGAATTTAAATAAAAAAATGTGTAAAATCATAGCTTCATCGGAATGGTCCGAAATTTGGTGACTTTGTTGGTACTTGGTATATGAACACCCAAAAAAATTGGGGACAGGATTTGAATAGTCTAAGTGGTTGTAAAAAAAATGGTCACACTCAGGGTCTTCGGGTCCAAATGGACCCGCCATAGGAAATGAATGGGAAATTGACAAAAATGTGACAATACAGAGTTGTTTTGTGCGTACAATCAACAAATCAGCCACGATCCAGAAAAAAAGCACACAACAGTGAAGGGGTGAATCTATAAAACATCAAGAGTGCAAAACAGACACATCCACACACACACACACACACACACTTTTATACACAAACACACTAATAAATTCAGATTACATAAATATGTTTTGAATTTTTAAAAATCACAGCTTCATCGGAATGTTACGAAACTAGGTGACTTTTATGGTATTAGGTATGTGAACAAACAAAAAATATTGAGGTCATGATCCAAGCATGCTAAGTGGTCGTCACACTTCTGCTCTTTGGTCAAAAATGACCCCCATAGGAAATGAATGGGAAATTGTCAGAGTTTTTTTTTTTTGCATACAATCTACAAATCAGCCAGGATGCAGAAAAAAGGACTCAACAGTGAAGGGGTGAATCTCTAAAACATCAAGAGTGCAAAACAGACACACACATACACACACACACACACACACACACTGTATTATATATTTATAATAATCTGTATTATAAAGTAAAACTGGCACTTCAAATTACCATTTAAACCAAACAAACAAACAAAAAACAAGACAAAAATAGTCTTTGAGAATCTGTTATTATATTTTAAAATCAACAACCTGAAAAAAATTGTCAAAGATGTGCAAAACTCACAAGAATTCTGAACCCTTTCTACAGAGAGCTGTAAATCCACTAGTGGTAAAAATGTGCTATTGCGTGATAAAAATGCTCAGTGTGTCCAGCAGATGGCATCCATCTCATTTCAAAAATTGTTTTCATGAGGCCTAGGCTTGACTCTAAAATGAAATACAGCTTTAAAAAAATAAAAAAAAAATAACATATTTATAAAAAAATTTATATTATATTCAATGGGAAAAAATGGGTCATAATTATTGCATAAATATTAATTATAAATCATAAAATTTTCTCAAAACACCAAAAAATAAAATAATTTTTTTTCCATTTGGTCCCGAAGACCCTGAGTGTGACCCTGAAATGAAGGACCCCAGAGGGTTAAGACTATTTATAGAATTGAGATGATGCTGTTACTCTAACCTAAAAAAAGAATTGGAATTTCGTTCTCCCTCTTCCATCCATCTCCTTCTTGAACGAACAAAAACACCATTTGCTTAACATACAAGTTATCTAATGAGTTCTGAAGTTAAGCCAATTCTAATTTTTGGACAACTGATTTTAAAAGGGGATGCAGGAGAGACGGACAATTTTTTTAACAATGTTAAGTTCCTCTAATTTGTATTGCTTGGCTTTTTGAGATCCAACTTTGAATAACATTAACCTAATATTGTATTTTAATAGCTCCCAATTAGAACCAACATTATTTTCAGCTTGAGCTTTAAAGTCCCCATGAATTCAAAATTGACCATACCTACTTTGTTTGCCTAAATTGATCGTTTTGTGGTGAACAATTCATCCATGCAAGTCAATCTACACAAAAATTTTTTTTGGCTTCGTAATCTTTAATCAAAATCTGAAATTTCCCCTCCCCTCTGCGTTGGAGGACCTTGCCTGATGAAGTAGGTTTCACGGTTTGGGCGTCTTCTTAACATCCATAATCACGCCCCTCCAACTGACAGTAGACAGGCTGAATGAAAACACCTACTTTTCTAGATCCAATCAGGTGCTAGTTGGGAAAAAAGCCACGCCCACCATTTTGCCTCATTTAGTATTCCGTTTCTCTCGGAAATACGACTCACAACACTGGAGAAAAGTCGTTTGCAACTTCCAGTTCACGGGGACTTTAATAAGAAAGAAGTGAATTTTAGAAATTACAGATTGACAAGTTTCCTCATCCTCTAATAAAGCAGAGTTTAGTTTCCAATATGAACAATGTTCTTGAGTAAGATGGGTTATCAAAAGACATGAATAATATACTTATGATCGGACAGTGGAGAAGGCAAAATTTCAACCTTATTGACGTAATCAGATAAAGAGTCAGATATTAACCAAAAGTCAATCCTAGACCTATAGACCTGCTTTCGACTATAAATTATAGAGTATTAAATGAGATGCACTTTAAATAACATGTTTAAAGACAATTGTTCACGGACATAACTTCACGCCGCCATTTTCTCCCACGCTGTGAACCGCTCCTGGCAATGAACACGAGAAATAATGACGTCAGATTTCTTACTAGTGCAATTATAATTGCAGATATATCTAAATATTATTCTAACTAGTCAAATTATAATTATGACTATTCAAAATACATTTATGACTATCCAAAATATATTTATGGATAGTCAAAACATAGTTTTATATGCTAAAACGGCTTGCCATAATGGTTGTGCCCCGCTCTCCCCTATGTTATGCTATGAGATAGTTTGCCAAAATCTGATAGGTTCACTTGGATTCACTCCACCCTTTGCGTCCTGGATCGTTTCTTCTCATTGGCTAATTTCTCCGGAGCCCATCCTCGTTCGATTACTTCAGCCAATGGATGTACGTGATGTCATATGAGCTTTTGCGTACACGCACCAACAGATCATGCGCAAAGCATTTCGGTACTTGACGTTTAAAAATGAAGACTAGAGACCGAAACAAATGTACAGAAAAACTACAATATGCGTTACGCCTTCGGTCTTATGGGCCGTCTTGACTTTTCATACGGCAGGTGAAATAAAAGCACACAGACATGAGTGTGTCAGTAATCTGAGCAAGGATAGATTCCCAATGCCAATGGTAAGTCAAAGTAAACCTCTTACATGATGAAAGTGTACAGTGAATAAGTAAATCTTAAATGTTCATATTGCTCTTAGCGAAGCTAGCAAAGTTTATGCGATCATGTTTACATCTGAGAGTTGCATTGCTTGTTATGTTGAGCATGCTAAGTAATTTTCTTGCTGTTATTTCCTAAAATTAGATATACGGTAATTCATTTAGCAATGTTACATAAAAGCAAGCATGCGAAACCAGGCTTTTACTGCGGATTAAACCCAACCCAACGCAAACAATAAGTTGTCTGTAGGTTGTTATGTAGGCTATGTGTGTATGTATTTTCAATTTAGGACAATATATTATTTCCATTATTTCCATTGTTTCCAAATCATACAGTAATCATGTTGTCAAATGTTTGCCTAGTGGTTGTATTTGTGTCTATGTCATTTGTACATCTGTGCACTGTATTTGTGTGCCCTGTCACTTCAGGGTGACAGCAGGTGCAGTAACGGTGTCCAGCAGAAAGCAAAGATGTTGTCGGATGCTCAGCTCTTTGATGGGGAATTTGAAAAGCTGGTGTCTGAACTTACAGAGCAGGACTTCACTGATCCAGTTCTCACTGATGCCCTCAACAGACTCAGAGAGGTAAAGTAAACTCTCACAACCAGTACTGAAGAAACATGGGTAAGACTAAGAGATAAAAAGATGACACACTGCACTGGTTATTTAATGTGAAATGTATTTTAAGAAGTACATAGTGTAGGATTACAAATTTATTTAAATGTTTAATTTAGGTTTCAGTACAATAGTATATAAACTGAGAAAGTTCTGTAGATTGAATTTAGCATTCAGCTGTTGAGCACGAGATTCCTGTCCTGTTCTGTTTCTCTCTATTGTAAGTTAAATGAAATAGATTACTGAAACTCTTGGGGACTCTCGTGAGCTTTTGTCTCAGCAAGAGAGAGTCATGGCATTCATGTTCTTGAGTCTCAGTGTTTGAATAAGTTATCACTCTCAGTTTCAGTACAGGTTTCCTAAACCTGTATACGAGTTTGCTCCACCTCTATGTAAATCCCTCCCCCTAAATGTATAAATTGCAATGTAAAAGTTCCCTTAGTCAGACGAGATTGAGATGCTACAGCGACGCACTAAAGAACTTCTGCTTGAAAGATACCTCAACGTCTCCTGGTCTTCGCTTCTGACTTTTCTACACTTTAGAAGAAAATAGTTCACAACAATAGTCAGTACATAGACATAAAGAAGTTGAGACACATGGAAACTGGCACACAAAGCATTTGCCGTTTAAATCTCCAGAACATATCTAAACGATTCTTAATCAACTCTGCACTGAATTTATTGTGTTATTTGTCAGTTTTGTGAAATGTGTAATTTTTCTCTAGGTGCTTCAGTACAATGCCCCTGGAGGCAAGAGAAACCGAGGCTTGTCTGTGATTGGTTCTTTACGGGAGTTAGTTTCTCCCTCTGAACTGCCACCTGATGAAGCTCACAGAGCCCTTTTGGTTGGATGGTGCATTGAACTGGTGTGTAAAATTGATAATATTAATTGCAATGGGGGATGGGGATGGGGGTGAGGGGGGGGGGTGAGGGGGGGGGGGGGGGCTGGGTAGAGAAAGAAAAAAAGAGAAAAAAGTGCAGTGAAAAACTTTTTGATTTCTTCACAGCTTCAGGCATTTTTCTTAGTGGCTGATGACATCATGGATGCGTCCATGACAAGAAGGGGTCAACCCTGTTGGTATAAGAAGGTAATTGATTTATGCTCATTAAAAAAAAAAAAAATTCCAAACACAAGAATATATATTTTTTTAATGATTATTACATTTTTACTGTTAAAGGCATTGTCCAGCCAAAATATTATGTCATCATTCCAAACTTGCATGACTTTATTTCTTCTGTGGAACACAAAAGAAGATATTTTGAAAAATGTTGGTAACCAAACAGTTTCCGTTCCCATTGACTTTCACTTCATAGTCAAAAATGGAACACACACCTTTTGGTTTCCAACATCCTTCAAAATATCTTCATTTGTGTTCCACAGAGTTTGTGTCATACAAGTTTGGAACGACATGAGGGTGAGTAAATGAGGACAGAATTTTCATTTTTGGGGGAACTATTCCTTTAATAACAATACAAATCAGAATTCTTGTGTCTGATAACAAAACAAAATTGGTACAGATCACGGTATTGACAATTCATAGTTGTTTAAGAGGAATAAGTATTATATTTGTATGTTTATTATGTTATATTATATAACAGTAGTGTATATCAGTTGTGTGGAGTATTCCTGATCCTGTGCTAATTGGGTTCTTTTTGAATTTGTCAGGAAGGCATTGGTCTGGATGCCATTAATGACGCTTTTCTCCTGGAAGGGGCGATCTACCGCCTTCTTCGCAGACATTGCAGAGGACAGCGCTACTATGTCCATCTGCTTGAGCTTTTTACTGAGGTAACACACACAAAGGTTCATTAGTCTGCTATAACACATGTACGCACATTTTAATTGTTCGTACAAAGGTACACAAAACTGTTAAGCTATTTCGACCACATTATGCATATTGTTTAATAGATAAAGACATAGCTGCGCTGTCTTAAAACTGAATCTTTTTTTCCTTCAAGACCTCTTTCCAGACAGAGCTGGGTCAAACTCTAGATCTGATGACTGCACCACCACATAAAATCGACCTTGATCGCTTCACCATGGAGAGGTGAGAAGTTGAGCTGGACTTTTTAAACTTATGGCACAGACAATTTAAATGCTTGCTTGCTGATTTATCTATAGCTTATTATTTGCCAATTGCCTACCGTTCACTGATTTACATTGTATTTGCCTCAGGTATAAAGCCATTGTGAAATACAAGACTGCATTCTACTCGTTTTATCTCCCTGTGGCTGCAGCAATGTACATGGTGAGTTTAGCATACATGTGTTCTGTGTATATTTAATGTAAATAATTATTTTTGTGATCCCTTTTTTTTAATTATTGATTACAGGCAGGGATTGAGAATGAGACTGAACACAACAATGCTAAAACAATTCTACTTGAGATGGGAGAGTTCTTTCAGATACAGGTATTAGTATAAAGCAACATTTTTGAAGCCTAGTATCCTCAATCAGATCTGGTTGCAATATCTCAAAGCATTCATAACATGTTTGTTGTTGACAGGATGACTACCTGGATTGCTATGGGGATCCTGCAGTGACTGGAAAGATCGGCACAGATATACAGGACAACAAATGCAGCTGGCTGGTGGTGACCGCACTGGGCATCATGACACCAGAACAACGGGCAGAACTAGAGGTGAGAAAGTGTGGGAATGCTGAATGACAAACAAATATATTGAATGCGAAAATAGAGCACATTAATGTGGGAGAGTTAACAGTTTTTTGTCTTGTCTTCTTTCTCTCAGGCATGTTATGGGCGTAGTGACGCTGAAAGCGTTGAAAGGGTCAAGGCTTTGTATGATACTCTGGAAATGCCTATCCGATACCATCAACATGAGGAGGGGAGCTATCACCGCCTTCAAAAACTCATCCAGTTTCATGCCAAGAATCTGCCTCATGCTGTTTTTCTTAATTTTGCCAAGAAAATATATAAGAGGAACAAATGAGGTGTGGTTCAGGGAACTGGAGGGACTTGACAAATGGATTTGAGTATTTTAGGCACACAGACTTCAGGGTCAAATAAAGATGCAGTGAGGGATTTTAGTTGTATATGAAAACAATATGAAAATGGTAGATTTTAACTGCACTTTAAATATACTGTCAAGAATTCAGATGCATTAAAAAAAAATTATAATTATGTCGCATCATTATTTGTTTTTCCCCATTTATTGCATCAAAAATGCAATCGCTGATTCAGAGGTCAGGCATTGCACAACAAATAGTACATCTGTCAGTGTTTAAATCGAGGTACATATGTATAAACCATATATTTTCATCAGCTTTTGCATTGTATTTTCAACATCTTTGGAAGAACTAGGGAGAGTAAAGAAGTAATGAAAAAAGATTTATAGATAAAAATAAGTAAATAGTTAAATAGAATATTTTTTGAAGTATGAGAACCAACCGTTCAGATGCACATATTCCTTGAAATATTTAACTTATGATTTAATAATAAGAAAATACCCTAGAGAAAATATCTTCAGGGCAGTTTCATTCAGAATCCTAGCTTTTTTGTTTGTTTGTTTTTGTGAAACCTGTCACATTACCAGTTGTACTGTACGTTTATAGACTACCAGAATGTCTGTCTCAAGTGTCCGGTCAGGTGATCATTAATCCCCAACATTGCTGTAAATGTAGAATACAAAACGACATAAATGTGCAAATAAACAAATCTGATCAACATTTTTTACTATGCATTACTCTGTGTGAGGTGTTTGAATGAGTGTGTGCAAGAGAAGTGTCGAGTCGTCTGTGAGAGCCGAGCAGAGAGATGCTGCTGAGGGAGGGGTGTGGTCTCGAGGATGGGATGAGAGAGAGGAGGGGAGGGTTAGATGACGGAGCGATAGACTGGAGGAAAGAGAATAACGGCATAATAATTTCAGAGTCATGGCTTGTGCGGTGGAATAGAGATCGAGATCAAGAAGAACGCATCCTTTATATCCTTCTGGAAATTGGGTAAATTCGTTTTCTTTTTTGTATTGCATTGTATGCTAGATTTGAAGCATTTTGTTTTATTGCCGAATTTTCTGATTCTTTTCTGATCTTTTTTTTTTTTTTTTTTTGCTCAAAGAAAATACTTTGAAGCTATATCATAATAACCCAATACGTTATCAATGTGAAATTTTAGTCTACCGTATTGATACAGTATTACAGTCTGCGGAGGAGGTGCACAACTCGAATCATCTTTTTAGATATAATTTTAAAACGCTCTTTAAATATTTATTAGCCCAACATTAAATAGTACACAATGGTGTATTAGAGAACGGGATGTTCATGTATTAAATATCAATCATGAGTTTATTTACTAAAACGCTCGCTAGGCCTAGATTTACATCCTCTGTATCCAAGGACATTGGTCGCGAGCAGTGCATTGCCCACTGTGTTTATAAAGAGCGAAAACAGCGTTGGTTATTGCTACGATTTTCTGCTCCACATGGCTCCCGCAGAGAAAAGCCATATATATTGTATTAGTGGAATAAAGAGATTTAAGGCTACATTTTGCTACAGCATGTTCTGTTCTCTCTAGGCATGATCATATATTTAGATTAGTAGGCTATTCTCGAAATAATGTAAGAATTGCAAGAATGAAAACAAATTTGTCCTGAGGCCATGGATTGGGAGAATGCAATTAAAGACTTTGAAATAATGCTATAATATTGATATAATAGGTCTACAGTGCATAAAATACTGATCCAAACACACACACACACACACACACACACACACACACACACACACACACACACACACACACACACACACACACACACACACACACACACACACACACACACACACACACACACACACACACACACACACATATATAGATAAGTATTTTATATAGGCCTATTATATCAATATTATTTCAATTATAATTTAATTAATAATTTAAGACAGAAAATTTAATTTTACTACTAAGAATGCCAGCAATTTGAAAAAAAAGAGAAAAAAACGAACAAAAAAAATGGTGGTGTACAGTAGGTACTTGTGTTTCAGTAAAACAGAATAGTGTATATATTTTTATGCTCTGAGAAACTGGAAAACATAATGATGTTCAATATGTTCAATGATGTTCCGGGAACAACAGAGAAATACTTTATCTATAAAATTTACCAAATGATGTTAAATTATGAAGAATGTTTGTCGGACCTCTCAAGCAAGGTGGTATATATATATATTTTTTTGCTTTTGTGTTTCTAAATAGAATCTGTCTTTTTGATATTTCAGGTACTAACATAGTCCAGGATGTGACCCCATATGTTTACAGACTCCTTAGACAAACATCAAAATAATAATCAGCACATACAAACTATACCACCATGCACCCCTCCTCTCGTCCCTCTGTGCCCCCACGTTCCCGCAGGTTTGACAATAGGCGCATAGAGGCAAAACCAAGCCAAGGGGCTAAGAGGGATGACAAAAACATGAACACAGCATCTTCATCCCCTCGGCGTGGCACTCGGGGACCACCTGAGTCTTCCAAGTTAAAAGGCCCCGGTCAAGGTGCACGAGCCCCAGTGGTTCAGTCCAAACTGGTGCGGCCACAGAAGAATGGTGCTCACGCGTTTCCAGCAATCTCAAAACCAAAAAGTGGACACACTGTATCAAACCTGGCCCCAGCTGTCGATCCAAACTGCAATGAGCCCAGCCTACCTTGTCTGTGTTGTGATGGCCATTCACCTCAGGATAGCAACAGCCTTTTTAATCACAACCATAACAACAATAACACTGTAAACATCAGGCAACAAATGAAGCTACCGCCGCCACCTCCTCAGAAGGAATTGGCTGTTCCAAAACAAGACATCAAAGAAGACGAGTGTGATCCAGAAGTAAAGCAACCTCATGCCATCCCAGTGAAGGAGATAGAGAAGGAAAATGACGATTTGGATGAAAAAGAGGCTGGTGACCTCAAAAATGATGACTGCAGTGTAAATGTAAATGGCAGTATTGATGTCAATGGCAACGGCAATTGCAATGGTGAAGATGATGAAGATGATGATGATGATGATGATGATGAAGATGATGATACTCTTGTCCCTTCTTGCTGCAACTGCCCAGAATCCATGCTAGACTTCTCCCTCACATCTTCTACCTCATCTTCTTCCACATCCATTAGCAGCTGCTCAGATCTGGAGTGTGACTGCCCTGATACATTTTCATTGTCATCACAGGACCAAGAAGCCACTGAAAGCTGTCCATCTTCTCGCTCACTGGTCTCCAATTGCCCTACCTTTCACTCCAATGTCTTACCATTAGATCTCAACCCTGCAAGATCGCCTTGCTCTTCTGATGAAGGCTATCCCTCAGCCCCGTGCTCTCCTTCCTCTGACTACACAGAGAGCAAGAAATCAGAAGAAGGAAAATGTATCAAAGTGGATCTCCTCCATTTTTTAGACTCCATAGAAGAGTTGGGCAAAATGGATCTGTTCTACCGCATTGTTAGGCTGGCACATTGGGAACTGGGTGGTGAGCTGATTGTCAGAGATAGATTGGATCACCAGCAGAAGCTTCAGAGGGTCAACAAAGAGGTTAAGTTGGCATATCTTGTGAAACTTCAGGAGGAAGGGTTAGACTTTGACAATGAGGATATCACTGGCGTTTTGGATGAAATGGGCAACATTGACATTGCATGGAATTTGTATAAAAGCAACAAATCAAGTGACTCCCAGGAATTTTCTGATGCAGGGGTAGATCTGACAGCTCCTTCTGACCTTGATGAAACCCCTGCCTCTGATTCACCTGCTTCATCGCCATTGGATCCTCCTCCCCGGCCCCCAAAGCCTCCAACAAGGCATGTGAGTGCTCACCCAGAAACGCACACTTATGAGAACATCAGTGGACATGCCTTCTCAGTCTCATCCACCAACGACACTGCTCCTTTCTCTTCAAGGGTCCCTGTTCCTACCTTGCCTGCACTGTCATCCTCACCCCCAGCCTTGAAACCTCCTGCCCTTCCTCCTCCTCCTCCATCACAGCCTGTGCCCTACTTCTCCCTAAATACAGACAGACCTACTCTCACCTCCCCCACACCACCCATTCCTCCTCCAAGAAGACGTCATAAAGCCCGTCTAGAGGCTCAAAGGCTTGCTCAGCTTGAAAGAGAAAAGACTCCTCTGTCCCTTCCACCACCAACGTCCAGACCTCCTCCATTGCCACCTCCACCTGCAATGTCCTCGCCTCCAGCTATCCCACCTCCACCATCACTCCTGCCCCCTCCATCATTTCATGCTCTGGATGTGGAAATCAGAAAGTTGCTTGCACTTGCAGGCCTCACCCAAGCTGAATTGCTTAAACTTAGTCCCGAGTTGGGTGTCTGTGTAGATGTAGTCCTGGAGAATGAGCAACCGCCAATGTCTGATGTCTCTCAGTTTGGAGAAATCAGTGTTAACAGAACACACAAGGAAGATGGTGTAGATAAGGGGTTGCACTCCATATTGAGAGAAGGAACCAGATTTGGGAAAGACAGGTCTACAGGTGTAAAGGAATTAGAAACGCTCAGTGAAAAGGACATTTCTAAAGAAGAACAGAAAGAAGCAATCAGGACAACATCCTTCACAGAAATGTCAAGACGACGTAAGAGAAATGGTGGAAACTGTAATCATAGCTGCAATTGTGGATCCAATGTTAGCCTATCTCCCAACTCATATTACAGCACTGATCTTAGCAATACAAACATCCCGAATGTTAGCTTTGGGAGTTTTGATTATACTTCTATGATCTCAGACACCCCTCCTCCTCCACCTCCACGACCATTGCCCCCTTGTCCACCAATTGTCTCCAATCCTCCTGAACTTCCCCCTCTTAAGCCATGCACTCTACCTGCCAATGCATCTCGCCCGGAAAGATTTGATTGGCTGATAGCCTTCACCCCAGAAACAGAGTCGCCACCTCTTGAGATGCAAAAATTGTCCAATGATGGCACATTGCAAAAAGGCTTAACTTCAGGCTTAAAAGTCACAACCTTTAAAGAATTACGCAACAGAAGCAAACAGAACTCCAATCCAGCCCCTATTCAATCAGAACCCGATCCAACTGTCGTCACCCCAGACCCTGATTTCCTGTACAACCTTAAATGGAGAAGAGAGAAAATTGATGGGGATGGCTGGGAATATACTTCCCAAGCACAAGCCTCTTTTCTTCAGCCACCACCCACTCCTGCCTCATTGTCCCTCTTTAGGGAAATGTGCCGCCTGAATATACAAGATGTTTGCCCTGCAAAACCCAAAGTGTCCCAACAAATTGGCTGTTCAGTAAGCGAAGCCAGCCTTAGGACTATTTGTGATGAAAGAGATAAAGCTGTTCACACCAAAATGATGGAAGACGAGGA